TGTTCAGTGTCCCCAGCACTACATACTGTATGTCTTCAGAGAAATCAGGTCACAGCCTATAGGCTTATTTATGTATTATTTTATATATAGGTAATTTATTGCAGAGAGAAAGGGAGAGGGAGAGGTAGAGAGAGAGAAACATCAATGATCAGAGAGAATCGTTGATTGGCCGCCTCCTGCACTCCCCACACTGGGGATGGAGCCTGCAACCCAGGCATGTGTCCTGACTGTGAATTGAACCATGACGTCCTGGCTCATAGGTTGATGCTCAACCACTGAGCAATGCCGACCGAGCAGCATATAGGTTTATTTTGATGCATGATTACGGTATTATGAAATGGAAGAAGAAATAAAAGTATAGGACAAAGACTCAACTATTAACTTTTAGCAAGTTGGAATATATATTCATATGTAACTTATTGCTCTAACTTCATTTTAATAAATACTAGACCTCTTCACTTTAAGTGCCCATTAAGTTTAATTCTTTAAAATTATATATACTCCAAAGTGTTTATTACAGATATTTATAGCTGTCATAGCCACAAAAGGAGGCAAAAAAGGTTTCCAAAAAAAAGTTTCAACATGGCCCCAGTACAGGGGAACAGAAACTGGAAATTTGCTGGTAAAGTTTAGAAATACACTGAGTTTCACCGAAAATGAATAGCAATGAATGAAGACTTAAAACCCCATCTCAAACTGGCTTTTTGCCATTTTATGTAAGTGAAAGGTCTTTCTCAATTCTGGCACATCTTGGCCCACAGGTTCAAATAACATTAACAAGGCTAGCTCTCCCTCCATCTTTCCGGTGTGCTCTGAAAAATGGCTTCAGAATTCACTTCAGTCCGAGGCTCCTGGACCTCCAAGTCCCGCTGAAGCACTGTCTCAACATTCCAACAGAGAAGCCCGAAATGGAATCCCAAGGTCCTGGTGCCTGTAGGAACCCTTAACCCCGACCCGTGTGATTAGGGCCCACCCAGGGTCCAGTTTCTGGAGGAGGCCACACACTAAAATGAAGAGAGAGACTAGAAGAGTTAATTTGGGACAAATGGGGGGCCAGGCGGGAGTCAACCTCTAGTGGGAAGACTCTCTAGGCTCTGGCCTAGCTATCCCTTTTATTGAGGCTGCTGTGGGATACACCCAGTACCCTGAAGCAGCTTTGGGAAACACCCATAGCCCTCAGGCAGGTAATAAGCGGATTATCATATCAGTAAGGATTTACATGATTACAAGATGGGGAAGTTGCCGTTACTATTGTCTCAGATAGGGTGTGGTTGGCTCTGACCTTTCAGAGCTTCACGGTTGACCAGCCTCTTTCTATTAGGGAGACAATGATTGGTTTCTGGCATGTGCCCCTCCCAAACCTACCACTGTGGCCCGCAGAGCAGAATGTTCTGATTGGCTAGCCCCGGATCACAGGACCCCTCTTAGAACTGGAGGGAGTCAACCCCATGTGAGCTGTGAACTGAAAATGAGAGAGGGTGGGAGACTGCACAGAGAAAATCCAGCGCGTTATTACAAGAGGAAGCCACAGGTATGTTGGGCAGGTGACACAGAACAACTAGACTCTAAGCGTCTAGTCCCTTCCAGGGGCAGAGGGAGTGAACAGCCCCTTGAGACCCCACCATGCTGTTGTCATTAGCCCACCGGCGGGCTCCACCCTGATTGCTATCGCCAGCTCCCTTTGTAGCTAACTGTGTCCTGAATCACCACTCAGCTGTCTCTCTGGGACAATTCCAATGTCAAATTTGCTGTCCTGGAGCCATAAACAAAATGTACGTTCAGTAGCTCACCTGTTGGGATGCTCTCTGAGTTGGAAAACATGCTCATGATACATAGCACCTCCGGAAAGAGGCACAAGAGAGGCTGACATGGAGGCTTCCCGACACCCCCTTCACCACCAACAGCTGAGGGATGTTTGAAAGGGGCCAGGGTGCTGCCTGCAGGGTTTACTGAACAACTAGGGAGCTGGCTCCTCTCTCTGCCTGAAGTGAAGCAAAACCTACACCCCCGGTAACTGGAAGCGTGGGCAGCAGCCCCAGTGATGTGGGTGAGAGAACTTGGAAAACAAAGTCAAGTATAAAACTGCAGGATCAGCTCCGCACTTAACACAAAGGCAGTGAGGACAAAGCCATGGTCAGCCTTGAGAAGCAGACGACCGAAGAGAAGTCCCTGGCCCTTAGGCCGGGGCACTCAAGGGTGATCAGCAGGCAGTCACTGAGCACCAGCAGCAAAGCCCAGTGGGGAATTCCAGACTGACCACAGGGCTGGGCGTCCCCAAGGAACCGCTTGGCAATGGCCAGCAAAACTCCGAGTGGAGAGGGGGAACCAAGAGCCTTTTCAGGTAAAAACACCCCTCTTTATTTATTTTTTAATTTTTATTTCTTATTTTTGATTCATCCTCACCCAAGGATATTGTTTTCCATTGGTTTTTTAGAGAGAGTGGGAGTGGGAAAGAGACACACAGAGAGAAATACCTATGTGAGACAGACACATTGATTGGTTGCCTCCTGTACCCACTGGACTGGGGCTGGGGCTCTAGCCTGCAGCTGAGGTATGAGGTTTGTGCCCTTGATCTTTGACCCTTGATTGGAATCAAACCTGGGACCTTCAGTCCTCAGGCTGATGCTCTATTCATGGAGTCACACCGGCAGGCCGGGCGGTGGCCCCTCTTTATTTCTCCAAGAGCCTTATTGTATTATAAGTGAGGAGGGGGTTGGAGGGAGCTGTGAGGAGGGAGAAGCCAAGTAACTTTAACTGAAACTGGGCCCCCTCTTCTCAGCTGTAATCTCAAAGCCCAGCCGGGAAAACTGCAGGAGGAACTCCTTATGGCTCAGCGAGGCTCAGGAATAACCTAATGCTACCTGACATCTGACTGCTTCCCAGGCCACTACAGAACTCACTCGGAAAACGTGCCTTCCTCTTTTCCTCCTCCATGTTAAATTAGGTCCATACGATCCCCTTTCCTTGTGTGTGCTCCTGTCAGGGTCCACCGCTCTGGCTCAAAGCGGGCGGCATCTGCCGGACGCCGCATCAGTAGACACGGATTGCAGGGCACCTGCTCCTGCCGGCCAGCCGGCTGTGCCTGCCGAGGCCGCAGCTTCCTAATGACCTTTGTCCTCCGGGCCCGCGAGGCTCTCCGTTTCCCTTGGAGTAGTCAGACCTCCCACACTGAAATAACAGACCTGGCAGGAGGCACTGGTCGAAGCTGTGGCCGTCCGGAATCTTTGGAATACTCTTCCAATAGGTGGGCATTTTCAGCAGATAGAATTCCCGCCTCCCCAAGGCAGAAGCCAGACTCAGTTACCCGGACTTTCCTGAAACCAGAGCACATGCGAAGGCCTCGGATCCAGAAGACAGCCAGTCACAGAGCAAGCTTCCCGAAGAGCGGAAGGAGCTGGCTCTCCTGGGCAGCACTGCTGACGGCTGGGCACCCGGGTGTGGACTGGGTGGCGTCTGCCGGCCCTGCCCCAGGAGGGCTGTGTCTGCTGCGCGGATGCTAGGCCTCTGTGGCTGTCCCCTGAGCTGCCCACGGTTCACAGCTGCGTATCTTCTAGAAACTAGAGTGAGTTCTGCTCTTGCAAAGAACTATGACTGCCCACGCCAGTTTGGCTCAGTGTGCAGGAGGCAGCCAGCCAATCAATGGTTCTCTCTCATCGTTGATGTTTCTTTTTTTTTTTTTAATATATTTTTTATTTTTAAAAATATATTTTATTGATTTTTTACAGAAAGGAAGAGAGCGAGAGATAGAGAGCTAGAAACATCGATGAGAGAATCATCGACCAGCTGCCTCTTGCACACCCCCTACTGGGGATGCGCCCGCAACCAATGTACATGCCCTTGACCGGAATCGAACCCGGGACCTTTCAGTCCGCAGGCCGGCGCTCTATCCACTGAGCCAAACCTGCTTCGGCCTTTGTTTTTTTTGTTTTGTTTTTTTTAAATATATTTTTATTGATTTTTTTACAGAGAGTAAAGGAGAGAGATAGAGAGTTAGAAACATCAGTGAGAGAGAAACATCGATCACCTGCCTCCTGCACACTCCCTACTGGGGGGATGTGCCCACAAACCAAGGTATATATCCTTGACCAGAATCGAACTTGGGACCTTTCAGTCCGCAGGCTGACACTTTATCCACCAGCCAAACCAGTTGGGGCATTCATCATTGATGTTTCTATCTCTCCTTTCCTCTCTGAAATCAATAGAAATATATATATTTAAAAAGAACTGTGAATTCGACTCCGGTTTGGCTCAGTGGATAGTGTGTTGGCCTGCGGACTAAAAGGTCCCAGGTTCAATTCCGGTCAAGGGCATGTACATTGGCTGAGGGCATCTCCCAGGTGGGGGGTGCGCAGAAGGCAGCTGGTCGATGTTTCTCTCTCATCGATGTTTCTAGCTCTTTATCTCTCTCCCTTCTTCTCTGTAAAAAATCAATAAAATATATTAAAAAAAGAACTGTGACTAATACATATATCTATATCTATATCTATCTATCTATCTATCTATCTATCTATCTATCTATCTATTGAGGTGCTGTTATGTGTCTGATTCTAAGCTGGTATCTCCTGTGTTACCTTATTTAAATTTCATAAATATCATTTAAAATACAAATTATTACACATTTTACAAATTTAGGAAACGGATATTCAAAAGGCCACAATTCATTCTGCAAATGTTTACTCATGGCCTACTGGATGCCAGCCCCTGGGAATAGAGCATTGAACAAAGCCCCTGCCTGCAGCTATGAAGAGAAAGGCTTTCTGTGTCAGAATGCCCCTCACCAAATGCCCCTCACCACACTCCCCCACCAACACAGCAGCTGTTTGGACGCAGGACCTTAGGCTGGTCAGGCTTCATTTTAAATATAGAAACCCCTAAAAATAGCCGCCCTGCTGCAGGCTCCACAGGTGATTGGCCCAGCGCGGGGCAGGGAGGGGGAAGAGGGTAAGGAGCCAGGCTGGTGAAGGAGAGGGAAGGACAGACTGTGGACCCGCTGCGGCGCGATGGCTCTGGTTCTGCCTCTGAGGACCTGGAGCCGCGGGCTGGCCAGTGCTGCCCAGGGCGGCCACGGCGGGGCCGGAGGTGAGTGAGCCCGGGCTGTGGCTGCTGCACCTCCTCGCACAGGGGCCGCCCCGCCGCCGCTAACGCCCCCTCCTCTGCCGCTGACTCCCCTGTTCCACCCCCCCCTAACGCCCCTCCCTGCCCGTCCCCCGCTGCAGGCTGCACCCAACACCCCTCTCCCGCCCCCTGTCCCCCCGCTGACTCCCCCTCTCCCGCCCCCTGTCCCCCCTCTGACTCCTCTCTCCCGCCCCCTGTCCCCCCAATGACTCCCCCTCTCCGGCCCCCTGTCTCCCCTCTGACTCCCCTCTCCCGCCTGCTGTCCCCCCGCTGACTCCCCTCTCCCGCCCGCTGTCCCCCCTCTGATTCCCCCTCTCCCGCCCCCTGTCCCCACCCCCGCTGACTCCCCTCTCCCGCCCCCTGTCGCACCCACTGACTCCCCCTCTCCCGCCCCCTGTCCCACCCACTGACTCCCCTCTCCCGCCCCCTTCCCCCCCCCCCGCTGACTCCCCTCTCCCGCCTCCTGCCCCCCCCCGCTGACTTCCCTCTCCCGCCCCCTGTCCCACCCACTGACTCCCCTCTCCCTCCCCGTCCCCCCGCTGACTCCCCCTCTCCCGCCCCTTGTCTCCCCCGCTGACTCCCCTCTCCCGCCCCCTGTCCCACCCACTGACTCCCCTCTCCCGCCCCCTGTCCCCCCGCTGACTCCCCCTCTCCCGCCCCCTGTCCCCCCCGCTGACTCCCCCTCTCCCGCCCCTTGTCTCCCCCGCTGACTCCCCCTCTCCCGCCCGCTGTCCCCCCCCCCCGCTGACTCCCCTCTCCCGCCCCCTGTCCGCCCCCCCTGACTCCCCTCTCCCGCCCCCTGTCCCCCAGCTGACTCCCCCTCTCCCGCCCGCTGTCCCCCCCGCTGACTCCCCCTCTCCCGCCCGCTGTCCCCCCTCTGACTCCCCTCTCCCGCCCGCTGTCCCCCTCCCCTCTGACTTCCCCTCTCCCGCCCCCTGTCCCCCAATGACTCCCCTCTCCCGCCCCCTGTCCCCCCCGCTGACTCCCCTCTCCCGCCCCCTGTCCCCCCGCTGACTCCCCTCTCCGGCCCGCTGTCCCCCGCAGGCGGCACGTGGCGCCTGCTGACGCTGGTGCTGGCGCTGCCCGGCGTGGCGCTCTGCTCCCTCAACTGCTGGCTGCACGCCGGCCACCACGAGCGCCCCCCCTTCGTGCCCTACCACCACCTGCGCATCCGCACCAAGGTAGGGGCCCGCGGGCGGGGGGTGCTGGGGGTGCGGGGGGGTGGGGGTGCAGAGCAGAGTGTGCGTGTGCGGGGGGGCGTGGGGTGTGGGGGTGCAGGGGAGGTGCGGGGGGGTAGTGGGGGTGCGTGGGTGCGGAGGGGTGTGTGTGTGGGTGCGGGGGCAGCGCGGGGTGACGCTCGCTCCCCCTCTCTCCGCAGCCCTTCTCCTGGGGGGATGGCAACCACACGCTGTTCCACAATCCCCACGTCAACCCGCTGCCCACCGGCTACGAAAGGCCCTGAGCCCCGCGGCCACCCCCCCTCCCCGCAATAAAGATGTGGCAGCCTGGCTCCTCCCGTGGGACAGGGGATGGGACGGGGACAGGGACTGGACGAGGACTGGGGTGGGCGATGGGGCCCTCTTAGTGCCGGCGCAAGCGCAGAGCGGGGGCTCCCCTCCAGGCCCGATGGGGCGGGCGGGGTGGGGGCGGCTCTCCTGTTACTCATGAGGCTCCAGGCATCCGGGCTTTCAGGGTGAAGGGAGTCCCGGTTCCAGGAAACAGCCATGCTGTCAAACAGGGTCTGCACCCCGCAGAGGCTCAGGCCCTGGCTCTGGGGGTGGGGTGGGGGAGGGGTGGGGTAGGAGTGGGGATATCCTAACCTCTGCTCTTCTGTGTTCGCTGGGAGCCTGGCTCTCCTGGCTTCGGGGAACCCATTTGAGGGGGTCGAAACCGATTCTGGGCACGGCATTCACTGAGACGGGCTGCTCACTGTCCGTGGCCAGTGAGCTGAAACCTGGGCTGAAACCCAGTACCCCCTCTTCCCCCTCTGTCCTCCCCTGTGGCCCCCCTCCCCTGACACTGCTCACACCACCACCCAGAGAGGGCGGGCAGGCTTGTGCCCTGAGGCAGAGAGAACATTCTCTCTACACAGAGGGTTCACCCAGCGCTTCCTTCCTGGAACAGCACCGGGCCGGACCAGAGCCCTCTCATAGCTGGGAAATGCGTTTTCAATCATTTAATGCGGCAGTGCTCACACAGAGGGAAGCCCATGCTGGCCCCGGCCTGCTTCGGTAAAGGGGGTCCCACTGAACTGGGTGGCAAGGCCGAGGGAGGCGGGCAGCGGCCCGCCCTATGCGGAAGTTCCCCCATGGAAGCAGGTTCGGGGCTGGGCAAGCCCAGCCACGGGGAGCAGTAAACAGGGGAGCAGGTCACTGGGACAGAGGCTCACTGGGGGCCTCCCCGCTGAGCATGGCAGCGTCTTCGGGCTGGTCGTCCATCATCTCTTTGTACCGCCGCCGTTTGAAGAAGCCCAGCTGTGAGGGAAGTGATGAGAAGATGGGGTGAGAGGGCAGGGAGGAGGCTGGGAGTGAGGGGGAAGGAACTGAGCTGACTATGTGGTGCGCGGAACACGTATGTGGACACAGCTGTCACGCTTGCGGTGGCCCCTGATTTCAAGACCAGCGGTTAGACACACAGTCTGGAGCAGAGAACGCACAGATGCTGTGGTCGGGCTCATTTCTGTCTTGCCGCAGCCACTCTGTGAGGCAGGCATTAATATGATTATTCCCAAACTGAGAGACAAACCCAGAGAACCCGAGCAACCTGCCTGACATTAAACAGTACGAGGAGCTGAAATGAGCCCCCAGGCCGGCCTGGCCCATGGCCTGGCTCTTCCTGCTGGGCCGCCCTGTCTGTGGGAGGCCTGGGTGGGCTGGGGGCGGCGCCAGGTGTGGGAGGCGGCACGCACCTTGTACAGCAGGAACGTGATGAGAGCCAGCAGCAGCAGTCCGCCCACGGAGCTGCCCACAATGAGGGGCACGGGGTTGTGCACCTCCTGCTTTTCCAGCACCACCTCCGCCTGGAAGGAGGGGACCCGTCAGGAAGCATCGGGGCTCTGGCTGCCCGGCTCCTCCCAGGCCCCTCCAACCCTTAACCCCGCCCCGGGTCTCCCCAGACCAGACTCCTGGGCTGAGCTCAGAAGCCCTCAGGGGTCAGGGCCCTCTGTCCCAGCCGGGGCCTTCACCCTCCCCCCAGGCCGTGAGCCCCACAGGCACACGGGCTCAGCACCAGAGGCCTCACCACTGGCTGCGCCCCGCACAGCCCTACCTGGGCTCGCAGAAGCGCCTCCTGGCCTGGGAGCTGGGCGAACACGGACGTGTCGAACATGACCTCTGCCACGCTCACCACCGACACCTTCTTCTGCAGCGTCTGCAAAGGGCGGGAGCGGGCAGCTGGCTCCGGGGAGAGCTGGCGCCAGGGCAATGCCCGCGCTGCCCTGAGGCGGCACAGACATTCAGGGACCCCCGGGGCGGGGGAGAGGGGGCTCTGCCCTGGGCCCACACACCTGGCTGATCCAGCCGAAGCTGAGGTTGCCCTTCAGGATGAAGTCCAGTTCCTCCTGGACGCCGAAGGAGGGGACATCACAGCGGAACCTCCGGCAGGCGGCCGCCGAGCAGTCCTAGGGACCGGAGAGCAATGACGTTAGGGAGGGCCTTAACTTAGGAGCCACAGAGGAGAGAAAGTGATTTGGGGTGAGGGACAGGTTAACAATCATAGGACATAGACAGGCTGTCCCAGAAATGTGTTCATACTTTAACAGTTGATAGTTCAATTTTGAAAATGAGCCGTGTTTTAATAAACACTGCCCTAATACATTTTGGGGTTATATCAGTGGTCGGCAAACTCATTAGTCAAGAGAGCCAAATATCAAAAGGACAACGATTGAAATTTCTTTTGAGCCGAAACCGGTTTGGCTCAGTGGTAGAGCGTCGGTCTGCGGACTGAAAGGTCCCGGGTTCGATTCCGGTCAGGGGTATGTACCTTGGTTGCGGGCACATCCCCAGTAGGGGGTGTGCAAGAGGCAGCTGATCGATGACTCTCATCGATGTTTCTAACTTTCTCTATCCCTCTCCCTTCCTCTCTGTAAAAAAAAATCAATAAAATATATTAAAAAAAAAATAAGAAATTTCTTTTGAGAGCCAAATTTTTATTTAAAAATTTAAAATTTTTTTAAAATTTATTGATTTTTTACAGAGAGAAAGAGAGAGGGATAGAGAGTTAGAAACATTGATAAGAGAGAATCATTGATCAGCTGCTTCTTGCACACCCCTACTGGGGATGTGCCCCCAACCAAGGTACATGCCCTTGACTGGAATTGAACCTGGGGCCTTTCAGTCCGCAGGCCGATGCTCTATCCACTGAACCAAACTGGTTTTGGCCAAAAGCCAAATTTTTTAAACTTAAACTTCTTCTAACGCTACTTCTTCAAAATAGACTTGCCCAGGCAGTGGTATTTTGTGGAAGAGCCACACACAAGGGGCCAAAGAGCTGCATGTGGCTCTCGAGCCACAGTTTGCCGACCATGGGCCTGTGTAGCTCTGCAACCTCGCTCTGCATTTCCCCGTGTTCCCCATGAGCTGCGGTCTGATGGGGGCCAGGACCTTCCTCACCAGCACAAAGCTCCCTGGACTCTGAGTCTGGAGGTCAGACTGCTGGGGAGGCTCCATCTCTGATACACAAGAGAGACCCTAGTGAGAGAGAAACAGCCGCAGATGAGGAAAATGTCCCGGGCGAGAGGGCGCAGGGCGCTGTGGGAACGGCCCTGCCCAGGGAGGCGAGCCTGGCAGCACCTGTGAGGGGGCCACCGCAGCCACGTCCCACACGGCCGCGCCATGCAGCAGCACGGGGACCCAGAAGTGCACGCTGATGGCCAGCTCCCGCTGGCTCAGGTTAGTCACCTGCAGAAAACCAAGACAACATTCCGGTAGGCCCTGGAGCACCCCAAATCCCATTTCTTTCTGTTCTGGCTCCAGCCCCAGCTCCTCTCCATCTTCCCCACCAACTTTCTATGTTAGCAGCACCCGGGAGGGCAGCCATGGACATTTCCTGGCCTCTCACACGATATCGATGCTCAGCTTCTTTCCTGCTCTTCTCATCGGAGGTTGAAAAGTTGACGTACTTGGTGGATTCTTCCTTCCTGGAGAAAGAGGGCTTGTTGGTGAGACACGGCGCTGGGGCCATCGGCAGTGACCCAGGTTCCCACAAGCCTCTGCAGCCTCAGCTTCAGCTCCCCGTGCCCTTTGCCCTCTTCACCAGAACTGCCAGCTCGTCCCGGTGCCCTGGCTCCCTCAGATCCCCATGCCTTTGCCCTTACTCCCCTGCTGGAAATTTCCTCCCACAACAGTTAACCATTTCCTATGGAAAAAAGGTGTTTACATGCGTTTTGTAGATTTGCTTTCTGTAGCAGCAATTTTCAACCTGTGCTGCAAGAATTTTTAAAACATGTAATACCTGACTATTTTAGTCAGGAGCGCTGACCTCTTTTCCCTTAGAGTGTCAAAAAAAAAAAAAAAAATGACAACGGCCAACACAACAATAGCCAGCCAATGTGAATGAATCAAAATTATATATATTTTTGCTCAAATTGGCAAAAATATATCTTCTGGGGGCGCCACAGAATTTTAGTAATTAGTTTATTGAGACAAAAAGGGTTGTGAACTGCTGCTCTAGTAGATTAAAGCTGACTTCAGGTGAGGCTTGCTTCGGCTATTGTAAGAACATATAAGCCTAGGGAGGCTTGCAGGAATGATGACTGGATCACTCAAAAAATGGAGCATGAGTGCCTCCATAATGGGGATGAAGAAAATCGACGTAACTATCTTGGGCAGTTAAATAAACGTGATGGAAGATGGCACATGGGCACAAGCTCATAGAGTGGACATAGAAGTTCTTGGCTGCAGGTGGCTTTCCATCCATCCATTCATCCATCTGTCCTTCCATCCACCTATCCTTCCTTTCTTCCTTCCTTCCATCCATCCATTCTTCCATCCATCCATCTTTCCATCCACCCATTCATCCTTCCTTCCTTCCATCCATCCTTCCATTCATCCATCCATCCTTCAATCCACCTATCCATCCATCCATCCATCCATCCATCCATCCATCCATCCATCCACCTATCCATTCATCCATCCATCCGTCTATCCATCCATCCATCCATCCATCCATCCATCCATCCATCCATCCATCCACCTATCCATTCATCCATCCATCCGTCCATCCATCCATCCATCCATTCATCCATCCATCCATCCATCCATCCACCCACCTATCCATTCATCCATACACCTATCCATCCACCATCCACCCATCCATCCATCCATCCATCCATCCCCTACCCATCCATCCATCCACCCATCCATCTATCTATTCATCCATCCATCCACCTATCCATTCATCCATCCATCCATTCATCCATCCATTCATCCATCCATCCACCTATCCATTCATCCATCCATCCAT